TTGCTTGATGCTCCATGTTTGCTTTCTCTTTCTCTTGTTCTTTGGTCCCTAATTTGGCGTTGCATCTGGACTTTGGATTTTTATCTCTTGGTGCATCCTCTTATGATCATTTATTTTTGGACCAAGACTGGAGTTCCTGTATTGTTTTTGGCCTAGATTTAATATCTGTCAAATTTCATCCCACTGTGCTTTAGTTGAGAACATATAATTTGACCTGTAAATAATTCCTGATGGTAGATTTAAAAAGTGAAAGTATTGGGTTGTCGGAAAAGTCATGACATATTTTTCTGGTTTTTGTTGCAAAAATGCGTCATGACTTTTCCGACGACCCAATAGATCAATAAAATCTTAACATCTTGACTACTTTCTCAGTGTAAAAGTGGTCAGTGCTTAGCCCACAACCTGCATTTTTCTCTGGTATATGTGGAAGCATGTGTCTACAATTGATTATTGAGGAGAAAGCCTGATGCTTTTATCTGCTGTATCTTGTTTCACTTTTTGTAAAAGATCATTTTAAGAAATGAACCCCTTCTGTGTTCGGATTAAACACTACTTTAGACACTTCATCAGGGCTCCCAACTCTGCCCCAGACCCCTTTGCCCACTTGCAGTCTTTGAAGCAAACCTGGGAGGCAATGGACTTCACACGCCCTTTGCTTTATGACGCGTTAGTGTTTTGGCTCCTGTTTGGGTTCTGTGTGGTTGCCCCATCCACTTACTCTGCTTCTATCTTGAGCAGGTTGACACACAGACAACCAGAAACTTAACACAGAGTTATACTTGTTATGGATCAATTGAGGCTCCTCTTGATTACCACACATAGGTCTCTAGAGCAGTGTTTTCCAAACTAGTCCATGAAACAGATCCATGGACTATTAAGTAGTATTCTATGGGAATAGGAGAGTTCTCTGGTCAAATGGTGTGGGGACTCCCAAGAAATACTATGCCATTAAATGTTCTGAGAAGCCTTGCAGAAATGAAACCTGTCAGATGACTTGTGTTTGTTTTCTAAATGCAGTTGTCCATGGAACCTCTTCTCTTTCGAATACCTAGTTACATCTCAAGGGTCACCAGTTTTCTGTGGAAGACGTTTTTGGAAATTATATTCTTAGAACTTGGACCATGAGTTAGCAATGTTCCTGATCCATGTCTTCAATAATAAGCTTTTAATAGACTAATTCTTGTTTAAATAGCAGGTCACCTCCATTTGTATTATATTAGATAAAAATCATATAATATCAATGTATTATCTGATTAAAACTAGGCATCTGATGAATCAAAAAGTACTTGACAGTACTTAGAAATCAGCAACTCTTAGTAATATGAATTACCATATTTTGCCATGTATAATGCTCTCCTGTATATACATGCACAGCCACATTTTTTACCCAAACTTTCAGATAAAAAAATCTTTCATTTTAATTTTTCAATTCAAATTTGTATTTGTTTACATTTAGGTACTTGTTTTTTTGTACGCTAGCGGAATTTTAGCATTTATTCTTTAACATATTATTGTACAGGAAATTTTACTTAACAAATAATTACAAAACACAAGAACAGATACAAGGCACAAGAAATTGTATGTACTCGTAACAACTGTACGATATTTACGCATCATAGAAGGCCAAGAACTCTTTGTTGTTGCAAGTTCATTGTAAGTTCAACAAAACTGATTATTGTATTCCAGGATATTATTTTGCATACAGATATCATTATTGATTTCTAGAGCTACATTTTTTAACTCATAGGCATAAATGAAAGAATTAAAAACATTTATATAGATACAGAATTAGTACTACCCATGTATAATGTGCATCCTTATTTTTCCCCCTCACAAATTTAGGCAAAAAAGTGTGCATTATACACGGCAAAATAAGGTAGTTCAATTACTGCTACCTGTGTATTACCTATTGGCTTACTTTTTTTTTTCTGATTTGGGTTTTAGTATGAAACTGATGCCAGGATATTCTGGCTGGCATTATTTAGAAAAGTATAAGATGCCCTAGTCTTAATCGTTTGAGGCTGGTACATAGGAAGGGCAAAGCTTGGACATTTAGCTTATCACTTTGGTTATAGATTCAGTGTTAATTTTAAGAGCTTCAAGAAATAGATAATTCTATAGTGTGCGTGCTTCACTATATCATTAGATTTTTGAAGGGGAAAGGTAATATTCATGTTAAACAATTATGATTTAGGAAGTGTTAGATATGTATTTTTTGAAACAAGAGCTAAAGTAAAAGTTTTACTTTTTTTTCTCATTATTTTGAAATAAAACAATTATAGCATATATATCTTTATAGATGAAATCTTTCAATTCTCACCTGAACGTAAACTCAATGTCAGGTAAATCTTCCTTTTTTATCTGAGTTACATAAAAACCAATGATGAGATCTCTTTCAATATATTATTTTATTTTATTTTATTTGCCATGTTTGAAAAATTTCTGTATATAAATGAAAAGGGAAATAGGTGGCTTTCGGGAATAACAGAATTTAATGAAATAAACAAAATCATTATTTTATGGGTATTGGATAGCTAGATGGAAATTATATCCTTCAAAAATGAATTAAATAATTTATATTTTGGTATAAAGTCAGATTTAATGAGAGTTTCTATGTGTAAAGTTCTATAACTAGATCTTTATGACTTAAGAATAATAAGAGAATTGTCTTTTTAACCCATGAGCACCTTCTGAAACCTTCCTTTCCTTTAATACCGCTGACACGTATGCTGTTTCAGACAGGGACACTAGGTACCCATGAAATCGTGCCACCGTTTTTCTTCATTAGCCCTTTGGTCTGGCGGCTTTTGGAGAAGTTGATTTCCCCCAACCTATCGACTCACCTAGCCCTTTTACTCAATTAATTATATTTCTTTGCCCTGCTCTGGTTGGCTAATCACTCCTGTTGCTTAAGAGGAACAGTAGTTTTCCCTCAAAGTAGAAGCACCTCGCAGTGCAGGAAACTAAGGCAACAAAAATGATACGCCAGCTGTAATAACAAACCCAAGTGTTCCACCTTGGAGGGAAATGGACTGGCACGCTGCCCTCTTTCACACTTGCATTCCTTTCAGGCGTTAGTGCAAGTGTAATGCGAAGTGAATGAGGCTGCTCAGGGCGGCCCAGACACAGTCTCTCCGTCTGCCTTTCCCCCCTGTTGCTTTGAGCCAAATCCATAGGTGAGATCAATCACCTGTTCCAGACAGCAGCTCCCCAAAGCCCTGCCGCAGAATTAGCTTTATTTAATGTGCTGCTTGGGAAGGCGGGGAGAAAAAGAGCACCTTGTTTCTTAACAAGAGCTTGAAATACCGTTCGTTTAACAAATATTGTGGAGTACATACGCTGTAACTGGTACTGTGACCCTTATGCTTTTTAACACCTATTAAGGAGGGAGCCACTGAAGGAATGGGGCGGGGAGAACTTATATTCTTAGAGTACATTTTTAGATTTAAGATTACTATCCTTTGCCAGACTGTATCATTAAGGACAAATCTATTCACATTCTGACCTTACCTTTTTTTCAGTCAGGTAAAAGTCATTTTTCTTTCTCTTCTTCAAACAGCTCTTGTTAGGATTTGACCGAGTTTCAGCAATTTTCGGTGTATAGTGAGAAAAGCTGATAACGTGTGATGTGGCCATTTTTCCCATGACTGAGTTTTCTTGTTTCATAAAGCTATCACATACTCAGAGAGAGTAATGGTTCTACTCATTTGAAACAATTGCTTGTTACATCTAAATTTAGTAGGGTGAAGATCTGAATAGTGAGAGCTCTGGAGTCCCAGTTGTCTAATACATCATAGAATCAGAAAGCGGCCTCAGGGAGATGGAAACAGGACCCGTAGCTGCTACAATAATAGGCTATCAATATTTTAGCTTCCTCTCCATTTCATTGTGTATTCCTCCTCTGCCTGCTAGTGTTGCTTAAGCATTCTCTAATTCTGTCTCTGTCTTTTCCAAAGCCATTTGTGTACATATGTGAAAAGCATCATTTCATTTGCATTAAGTTTATTTCAGCCAATTGTTTTGTTAGCTACCCCAGTAAATTGGAAGTAAAATTCCAATTTAACAAACTGTCTGGCATTTCCAGAATATTTTATTATGACACGTTAAATGATAATGAACTCATTTCCTGCTAATTGGACCTGATGATAAACAAAGTAAAGTTCGGCCTTTCTTTTTTAATCAATAAGTAAATATAAGAGTCGCTCAAACTTAGTTATTGCTTCTACTAGCACACATGTGTCTTTGTCAGCACTGGAACAAGGCTCCCCTCTGGCAGACAGACTGCAAAAGGTGTCCACCCTGGACAGAGCAAGTAGAAGAAATAAAACCCTTTTCTCAAGGGGACTTTGGTCTGTTTGGCTGGTTGAGTGGGGGCTGATGTTGGCCTCCATTCACTCTCAGCCTTGACCGTGTCCGGGCCATGACCTGCATAACAATCCCAGCAGCCCTGTGTCTCAGGCAGGAAGGCAGGGTAACGGCATTCCATCCCTTCCTGATGTCAAACCCTGGAGGTCGTTTTGTTTTGTTGTTTGAATTGATGGGACTTAATCATTTTGATAGTAGTGATGGATGAGAAGGAGGGTCAGAGAATTAGTGTTTGATTATAGGATAAACAAAGTGAAATAACCTCAGTGATAGTTCTCACAGCTTTCCCTTTGAAGCATGCAATGTTAATAAGTACATTACAGACTCTTTCATTAAAGACAAAATTCATTTCCTAGACAATAGTCCAAAGAATCACCTGGAAAGGTTTGTTCATCTTGAAGAATGAATTGTAACTTTATTATCAAATGACTGTTTCTATATACCCATAGGGCATTGAAGCAGTCATTTAATCATAAAGCATATATATATATATATATAAAATGAAGCTTTTCTCATATGTGTTATTTCTTATTATACATGTATTACATGCTTGCATTAACTCCCACTCCCCCACCCCACCTGGGAAGGAATTAAGAGTAAAACTTAGGGCTTTTTTTTCTGTCTTCTTATTTCAGGTGACGTGTACCACATCACTGCTCTCAATAAATTCACCTATGAGGAGGCTGAAGAAGAATGTGAAAACCAGGACGCCAGGCTGGCCACAGTAGGGGAGCTGCACGCTGCTTGGAGGAACGGCTTTGACCAGTGCGATTACGGGTGGCTGATGGATGCCAGCGTTCGCCACCCTGTGACTGTGGCCAAGGCCCAGTGTGGAGGTGGTTTACTTGGGGTGAGAACCCTGTATCGTTTTGAGAACCAGACAGGCTTCCCTCCCCCTGATAGCAGATTTGATGCCTACTGCTTTAAACGTAAGTGTTTGATACCTTTTTAAAAGTTACAGATTAAAAAAAAAACACAACTTCGAAGGCATGCATTGATGTTCAACTAGCAATTGGAATGGATTCCATGTCTTGCATTGTGCATGGAATGGGAACAATTCAGTGACTTTCAAAAGCAAGCAAGCGATGAAAACAATGGGAAGTTTGACAAATGGTTTTTTTTAAAGGGGATACAGAAATATCAAGTTACGGTCTTAACTGTGTCCCATTGCACCATGAAACGTATTTCTGAGTAGCTGTTCCATATTAATTGCAGCCCTGAAATGCAATTAGATTGTTGGTGCTATAATGCCCAGGCCAACTGTGGCCGAGTTGAATTCTTGAATTCTGTTTATTTTGTCTTTGTTGGGTATGTGTTTGAAATGGCAGAGAGTTTAAATTTCAGTAATTGCAGGTGAGTACTTGGAAGTGACATGGATAATCATAACGTTCAATTAATACCTAAAAATTAACCATGCTATCAATAAATATCTCCATTTCTCTCATCTGATTTCAAGTAATAGAAATATGTGCTTTCTAATAATTAATTTTCTAGTATCATATTGACAAACAATATATGTTCTTAGCAAAGCGAAACACAGGCTATCTTCAGTTATGTTTACTACTTACAATTGGTTGTAAGTAACATTTTCAACTTTCATGATCTAATTATGTGAAGTTTTCAAACTACCTTAAATTATTTTATCAATAGTAGTCACATGATATAGTATCATGCTTGTAGAATGCCTAATTAACCAAGCAAGTGATCCAGAGTCTTGTAATACTTACTGGAAGGCCTATATTGTGACATTAAACAAAGACCTAGAATTTTGAGTGATCTGAATATGTGTCAAGATAGAGCCATGTTATATTGAAATACAGTAACGTTTTAACTGTTTCTAATGTATTTTGTTATAGCAATATGTAACTAATGAGTAGAAAATGCACTAGCTTATCATGTAATTGGTTTCTAAAGTAAAACACACAGGCATTCTTCATCAACCAACAAGGCCCAGAGCCGGGATGTCTGAGGATTCAGCAGAACAGATGTTAGTGCATCAGGCAGGTGTGATTTTATACACTGCTGTCTCTCAGCTGAGATGTCTCTGCTTGGATTTCCTCCCACGGACTCAACTTTCTGAGTGTTAAAGCCACATCTGTGTATCAACGCAATACAAATTGGCCATCAAAAGCCATTGAAAATCCTAACTTTTGTTCCTAAACCCTGAAACAACAGAAAAAGTCTTCTTTAATCATTTTCAGAAAAACAAACAACAATAACAAAAGCCTTATCCCAAAAATAGAAAGATATACATTCTTTAAGCCGCCTTCTCCTAACAGTGATTTTCAGATAGTTCAAGCTGTATGATCGGTTTTACATTACGTAACTAATACGAACAAGGAATAAAATCAGATTGGTATGTGTTGGGGCAAAGGGGTTAGAGAGGTTAAGTTAGGGAAGATGTGGAATTATCCAACTTTACTATGTTGCTTGATTATATTTTCTCATGCTTTATAAAACTGGCACTAGAAAACTTTTAAACATTTTTTTTCTCCCTGAGGGTAAAATTTAAACCAAAGTCTGTCTGTAGCCACAAAGAATTCATCCCAATGTGTTTTAAGTTATTTATTTAAATGGGGAGTTCACATGCATGTATGAAATAACAAGGTAGTTAGATTCAAGTAGAAAAACCACCTACTAAAAATCTATATAAAAATCTTTAAACAGTTGGAAAAGTTAGATCTATTGTTTTCTCTCTAATTCATTTGAATCTATATAACTTGGAAATATGTAACTTGTAAATATAATGGTTCAAAATTTTTTCTTCCCACCAATGCTAAAGGCTAGATATTTTGCTTATTTCTAACTTACCTAAGGCGATCCTATTCAAAATTTATTCAGCACTTAAAAGGTTTAGAAGGTTTAGTCATAAAAACCTTTCTTAAGCCATGAACAATGCCAACATCTTCCCCAGATTTCTAATTCGTTTTTCAAGGATTCTTTATATGTATATTAAAGAATTTGAAAAATATTCTCAAAATGATTTGACTGCTGCTCACTTTCCCCACATACTTGAATATGACTGAATTCTGTAGGGTAAATTTTGTAGGAGATACGACCTTAGCAACAGTTCCAAAAGTGATTTCAGAGAAGTACAATTGGTTGGTAAAGTAGAGGAATTTAGAAATACGACCATATTTTTCTTGTTTGCTTTTACCAAATGTAGAGAGTATTTTTGTAGCCACTTCTTGCTGAATGAACAATACCAAATCACACTTGGCTAAATCACCTTTTCCTTCTAAAATCATTAAATAGAACTTTAATTATGGGTGGTGATACATATAATTCGAATTGATTCTTGTCAAATAGATTTGAAAAACAAGTAAGTTAATGTCTTTGTGAAATAAATTTTCCGCTGTATTCCCCTGTAATGATTAAACTAAATTGTGTGCTTTCAAATTTTCTATGACCTCAGGGTTAAGCAAGTTCTGTGAAAGAGTTATACAGGGCTTTGAAAGATCACCTATTCATCCCCAAATGTAAGTGACTCAAAAGCATTCAAGACCCATGTTAATCTCTTGTTTGACATTAGTAATGATATCCAAACCAGGGAGACAGAGCATGTTTCCAAGAACACCCATTCTTATATCCTATTACCGTTGCTGTCAGATAGTTTTTCTAATGATCTACATCCATTGCATTAGAGTTTGAGCCCACTTTTTTAAGTTGGAGACCAAAATCTAAATAACAATCATTTCTATTATTAAACATAATTGTTTAGTTATCCCTCAACATTTTCCTCAAATGAAACAATTTATGTTTTCAAATTTCAGTTTTTAGGCCTCTGATCATGGATGTAATCTTGCTTTGAGCTGTCATTTTTTTACATCTGTCTGTTTGATTAAGCTTGGAAATCAAAATAGTGGTCTAAAGAAGGCTAAATAAGTGCCCACGACTTCATATGCTGCCTTTTTTGCATATTTGTTTACTTTTAAATTTGGCCTGCCCTCCTAACCTGTATGGTCAGCTTATCTTTTTTGTGCCTTCAATCATAATCTGACCATAGGTACCAAAACTTATCCTTCCCTCATTGGTATTTTTTAAATGTTTTCTGTTTATTAAGTTTGAATCTGTTAGCATACACTCTTTCATAAAACTTAAAAAAAAAGTTGTTTGAATTTTAATCATTGTTTCAACTTTTCTTTTTTCCCCAAATATGAACCCAGAATCAACTTATTCAATTATCTGCTTTATTTGTGCATTCTTAGGTGTATAGTTATCTGTGTATAAATCATCTAATATAGAACTAATTTGAAATGAGTCACTTCCCTATAATGTAGGCAGTATGAGTTACATCAAGTATCATGCTGCTATTAGGGTTTTTATATTTTATTAGGAAAATCTGCCTCATGTCTCACAACAGAAGCACAGAGAAGATAGTCCATAGGACATAAAATACCATAAGTACAGTGATGTGAAACATCTGTGTGGCAGACAGCTGCAAAGGTTGGAAGGGAGCTTTTGTGGAAAAGGCGCATGCTGATTCCTGTTGGCTTCCTCAGGAATGAAACTGAAGGGACATTGGTAGTTTTCCAAGACAGAAACTTCTTCATGTGAAGGCTCCTTCTGGAAGGACACTTTTAGAATACTGTGGAGCTGTGTTCTCGCCTTTGTAATAATTATCATCAGTACAGTGGCATTTAGTCTTACGATATCTCTTTGCACATATTTGTGTTTTTAAAAATGATTTTGGGGAGCAGGGCAAATGGTTGAAACAAACGGCACAGATTATGAGATATACTGAGTCATGATGGAAATCAGCTGTTAACTTGATGAAAAATCCATCCAGCCCCAAAAGGAAGTCTGAGGTTTTACATTCCAAATAGTAGAATTAATTAACTGAATTATAAACAGATTTTTTTAACAAGGCTCTAAAATTGACAACTCTTATTTTTGAAAACAAATTCACATAAAGCCTGGCTTTGTAAAGAAGATGCTGTGAGACATACTGCTATTACTTTACTGTGCTCCAGGACTAGAGGAAGACACTACCAAATGGTATTGTAATAATTGACAATGACATAAAGTTATTTAGTTTTGTTTTTGTTTTTTTAAGTCTGAGTCCTTCATTTTCCAAACACTATAAAATTGTCATAGCATTGTATAAAATCACTGGCACAGAAGTTGTGTTGGAACCTAACTCACAGGCCCTCTGTTTGGTCCTAATGCAGCATCACCTCCTGCTAATTTAATCAGTCACGGACATACTCAGAGGAAAACAGCAAAATTAGCTTTATGTTGTTATTAATAATATGGTTAATTTTTTCTTGGATGTAGTGTGCTAAGTGCTTATATTATGTTTCCATGGGAACTTTCTCTGTATGTACATTTTCCTATTTCTCCAAAGAATGCAGTTATAAGACAAACATAATATGTGGCATTTAAATTGAGGTAACAGTGATGGAATTTCAGAAGATCTAGAGAATTGAATTAAAAGAAAAAACACATTTTGGTTCCTTAAGTTGCTCATGTCAATCAAAATAGACCAAAGCTTCTTCCAGTAAATGAATGCAGAAAAAGCTTTTTTTAAAAAAAAAAAAAAAAAAAAAAAAAAGGAAGAAAAAGTTATTTAACATATTTTTAAAGAGTTCAATTTTTTTTATTTAGTTTTGTTTTAACATAAAAGGATAAATAGTGACCGAGTTTTAAAGAATAGTTAAAAGCATCATGATGTAGATGGCCACCAAGTTTTCATTCTAAAATTGATGAATCTGGGCTTTAAAATGATCTGGGGAATGAATGACCACAGCTAATAACAGCTCAAACCAAACCAAAAAAGGAGGAGCCTATTGCAGCTCAAGTCTGATATACAACAAAATCACATCATTTTATCATTAACTTTTAAAAATAGACTTTGTTTTTTTAAAGTTTTAGGTTCACAGCAAACTTGAGTGGACAATGCAGTGATTTCCCATGTACCCCCCCATCCTCACTCGGGCACGGCCTCCTCCATGATCAGCACTCCCCTCCAGAGCGGAGCCTTTGTCATCATGGCTGAACCCACACGGACACATCATAATCACTCAAAGTCCATAGTTTACATGAAGGCCCACTTTTTGTGTTGTACATTCCGTCGTTTTGGACAAATATGTCAATGACATGTACTTACTATTCTCGTATCATCCAGAGCAGTTTCACTGACCCTAATTATCATTAAGTTTTGATAGAGTAGATGGAGCTCGAAGGTATCCAACTTCTTTTTCCAAGCACTCCTGTTTTCGGATTAAGAAACAAGATATTGTAGATACCACAGATATGGCAACTCTTATCAGGGGGAGCAGGCATTACCCATACAACTAGTTTTAAGCCATACAGGACATAGCAAAACAACGACTACAGTTCCTCAGAACTGTTCCTTCTGAGTTTAGCAGCAACTAATTTTTGATTTTTGAAAGTTTGAATTTAAAAAAAAACAAACACCAAAAAACAATCATTGGACTAAGCTGCCACATTTTCAGTAGGTTGAGAAAGAATCTTGTCTACAGCACTGTCACTTTTGTATTTGATTTAAATTCCTTTAAACAGGCCAGGCCATTCTCTCTGTAAATCTGGAGGCATTATAATGTAGCATTTTATGATGACATGTTACTTTTTATTGCCTGAGCCCATTCTTTCTGATGCTCAGGGTTGTTTCCAGTGATTTGTAATTATAGGCCTAAAATATATCATGTGGGTACTTTATTTCCTGTTCTAGGTTTGGGTTTCATGCTAAAGTAAGCCTGGAACCAAGACCCTTAAGAGTTACAAACGTAGAGTGTAGGACATAGAACAAAACGTAGAAGTACAACAAATGCCAAGTAGCCTCTGCCAGAAACATTTTATTATTTGTTAGAAACAAGGCTACACCACAGAGTTGAAAGGAAGAGGAAGAGGAAGACAAATGTCCAACACCTGGAATCAAGTGAAGGGTGGTATTAAAAAGTTTAATATCCTGTTTTTATGAAACCCTCCACGTTATGGACAGTGTAATAGTTTATATGTAAATGGGGTACATTTGATGTGGCTTTTTGTTGTTTTGCAGTCTGAGGCACTCCCGCTCCCCTGAGACAGGATGCAGCTTGAGAAGGAGGGAGAAAACTAGAGGCAGGGTACAGAAGCTTCCAGAATAGTAGTGCTGAGTTCTCCTACTAGGCTTCAAGTTGCTGCTGTAATTTCTGATGAATTCACCTATCTACTGTTTCCAAACTCTGCATTTATATTTTTTAGGCGCCTCCTTATCTTAAAACTACATAATATTTGTTTTCCTTAACCAAGAACATTCATTCATACCTATGGATAAAAGCAGAGATAACCCTTATAACTTAAAACAAGGGATCAATTTGTGAGTATTAAATGTTCAATGGTCTGTCTTTGGGTTCATTGAAGTATAGATTTTAGACTCTCAGCCATCACAAAATATTTTTAGGCCACCCCAAAATACACAGCAGGACTTAACAAACACGACGTGCAACGTTTTATTAGTGACTTGTCTAATCAACTCTTTGAAATTATTTTTCTAGCTAAACAGATTGTATCAGAGGCTACAACCATCGAACTGAATGTCCTTGCAGAAACTGCATCACACAGTTTATCTAAAGATCTACAAATGATACCTGACAGAACTACACCAGTCATCCCTTTAATCACTGACTTACCTGTCATTACAACAAAGTTTCCTTCTGTGGGAAATATAGTCAATTTTGAACAGAAATCCACAGTTCAATCTCAAGCTGTCACACACAGGTTAGCCACGGAATCGCCCACACCTGCTGGGAGAACCAAGAAGCCTTGGGATATGGACTATTCCTCACCTCCTTCAGGACCACTTGGAAAGCCAGACATATCTGAAATTAAGGAAGAAGTGCCCCAGAGTACAACTGTTATCTCTCTTCATGTTACTGATTCATGGGATGGTGTCATGAAAGATATACAAACACAAGAATCAGTTACACAGATTGAACAAATAGAAGTGGGTCCCTTGGTAACATCTATGGAAACCTCAAAGCACATTCCTTCCAAGGAGTTTTCTGTAACTGAAACACCATTTGTATCTACAACAATGACCCTGGAATCCAAAACTGAAAAGAAAACAGTAAGCACAATTTCGGAACCAGTGACCACAACCCGCTATGCATTCACCTTGGAAGAAGGTGATGGTGACGACAGAACTTTTACACTTAGACCTGATCAGGGTACCTTGGTGTTTAGCCAAATACCTGAAGTCATTACCGTGTCAAAGACTTCAGAAGATACCATTTCTACTCAACTAGAGGATGTGAAATCAGTCTCAGCGTCGACAATGGTCCCACCTGTAACTATGCCTGACAATGATGGATCATTCTTGGACACCTGGGAAGAGAAACAGACTAATGGTAGGGAACTTGAAGATATTTTTGGCCAGGATGTATCCAGCACACCTTTCCCATCACAGCATCATACAGAAGAAGAATTGTTTCCTTATTCTGGTGATAAAAGATTAGTCGAAGGAATAGCCACAGTTAGTTATCCCTCTCCACAAACAGCAATAACACAAGGAAGAGAAAGAACAGAAACACAAAGACCAGAGATGAGAACAGATACGTATACCGATGATGAAATGCAGGAAAAGATCACCGAAGAGCCACTTAAAAGAAAAATAGAGGAAGAAGGTGCTTCTAGAATGAAGTTCTCTACAGCTTCCTCAGAGCCACGTCATCTTACAGAATCTTCAATGGAAATGACCAAATCGTTTGATTCCCCAGCAGTGACAACAACAAAACTAAGTGTGGTGCCCACAGAGGCAAGAGATGTGGAGGAAGATTTTACAACTGCAGTTGGATTAGAAACAGATGGCTATCAAGATACGACAAAGGATGATGAGAGCATTACAACAGTGCATTTGACCCACAGCACTTTACATGTGGAAGTGGTCACTGTATCAAAGTGGTCACGGGATGAAGATAATACAACCTCAGAGCTGATAGGGTCCACAGAACATGCAGGCTCTCCAAAATTGCCCCCTGCCCTACCTACCACTACAGGAGTGAGTGGAAAGGAAAAAGAAATCCCAAGTTTCACTGAAGATGGAGGAGATGAAGGTAGTACTCAAAAGCCATTAGAGCGGTTTACTGAGGAAGACACCACAGACAATGGGAGATTCACAGTTAGATTTCAGCCAACTACATCAATAGGCATTTCAGAAAAGTCAACTTTGAGAGATTCTATAACTAAAGAAAGAGTTCCACCTATCACAAGCACGGAAGGTCTAGTTGTTCATGCGACCAGAGAAGGAAGTGTTTTGGATGAAGGAGAATATATAGATGTCTCTAAGCCTGTATCTACTGTCCCCCACTTTGCACACACTTCAGATGTGGAAGGATTGGCATTTGTTAATTATAGTAGCACCCAAGAGCCTACTACTGATGTAATCACTTCCCATACCATTCCTCTTTCTATAATTCCCAAGACAGAGTGGGGAGCGTTGGTACCTTCTGTCCCATCAGAAGGTGAAGTTCTTGGTGAACCCTCTGAAGACAAACATGCCCTTGATCAGACTCATCTTGAGGCAACAATTTCTCCTGAAACTATAAAAACAACAACAGAAATCACTCAGGAAGAATTCCCTTGGAAAGAACAGGCTCCAGACAAACCAGTTCCTGCTCTCAGTACTACAGCTGGCATAGTCAAGGAGGCAACACGACCTGTGGATGAACAAGATACTGATGGGTCAGCGTCACCTGTCAGCACCAGTGTCACCCAGCTTTTAGAGGAAACCACTACTGAGAAAAGAGAGAAAACACCCTTAGATTATATTGATTTAGGCTCAGGATTACTCGAAAAGTCCAAAGCCACAGAACTGCCAGAATTTGCAACAATTGAAGCCACAGTTCCAAGTGATATCACCACAGCCTTCAGTTCAGCAGACAGACTTCCCACAATTTCAGCATCCAAGACACCTTCAGCATCCACTGAGCTGCCTATCATTGACAGGGAACCTGGTGAAGAAACCACCGGTGACATGGTAATCATTGCAGAAGCAACACCTCCTGTTCCTCCCACCACCCCAAAGGATACTGTAGCCAAGGAAACAGAAACCGATACTGATGGAGAGTATTTCACAGCTCCAACTACTCCTTCTGCTCTACAGCCAACAAGACGACCAACTATGGGAGGCAAAGAGGCCTTCAGACCTCAGCCACTTTCCACTCCAGAACCCCCGGTGGGGACAAAATTCCACTCTGACATAAATGTTTTTATTATTGAGGTCAGAGAAAACAAGACAGGTAAGTCTTTGCTTTCTAGACATACCAGTCAAGGCAATCCGCATTTTATCTTGAAAATTACTTTTGGGGGAAAAAAAAATCAACTACCAAATGCTGCCATTAGAAGATAACTGGAGTGTGAAAAAATTCTGTGTTTTAGCTTCACAGATTTGTACAAGAATTGGAAGAATATGTTAAACAGTTTGGAAGAATGTTAGATACGATTTTGTTAAAAGTCATAAGAAGCCCTGCTTTGTCATGTAATATAACCAAATCATCATGTTACATCACCTCAGAACATGCAGAACAAAGTGTTTTAATTTCAGTGTCTTTCCATGCATTACTACTCAAGCGTAGTACTAGGCTGTGTTAACATTCCATTGGTCTTTAACTATTAACCTTCAGTACTTTCATTGTGGACAGCTTAACTGTATTTCATATTCCTAGGGCTGACGGATATCTAAATGTTTGCTTTGGTTTTTCTCTTCCAGTATTTTGCAAGCTTATGTTTTATGGGGTGGGTAATAGGTCTGTCATTTAAATGTTATTTTCATGCAAGGTCAACCTGTTTTTAAGCTGTTGTCCCTGGGTATTTGAACAAGGCTTTAAATATTTAGAACAAATACAATCCAGCTCAGTTCTAGGAAATATAATTCATTGTATCAAATATAATTTTAGAAGGTGGATATGTCAGCATTACCTCTGTTCGGTAAAACCAGGCTATAATGTTCTTTATTTTATGATTTAATTGTTTTAATCTCAGGGAATATCTGCAATGCCTTCTGTTTTGTGCAAATATTTTATTTATTTCTGGCAAAACGCTTAAAAGTGGTGTTTTTACATTGATTCATACTTGCAATTTTCATTATCAAACATAACTTATTCCTTCCTAAAGGTCAGACTACACCATCTTTTAAGTTTGGTAAGCTGAGTTAAGATGATATAGCATGTATAGTTCAATAGATCAATTCAGGTTTGTTTGTCTTTTTCTAATTCAGAAGTTCAGATTATTGATTTTAGTTAAGTTGCTGTATTCTAGTTTAAATATGTGAATCAAATGACTAAATACTCATTTTTCCTTGACATAGCTCTGAGAAATTGGGCTAGAAGATTTTTTTTTTTAATTTTTAACCAGGTTTTCTCCCTTACTGTTGGGATAGTCCCCTCAGGGTATTTTACTTAAGAGTGATGCTATCCTCATTAGAGTACTCAGGAGTGCACCTGTTGGGAACACACAGGTAACCCTGTGGTCAAGTCAGTTGGCTGCCAGTACTGTACAAACTTCACAGCTTCAACTATCCAGAATCTTCTCATTGTAAACGCTCTTGCCAGGGCAGTAAATTGTAGAGACAGGAATACATCCCCAGGGTCCTGAAGTTAATCTCCACTTTCCAATACAGTTGAGAGAGGCCAGGAGTGGAACATGATTTTCCTGCTAATGATGCTGTTTCTTGGAGACCATAACATATTTCCTCTCTTATATTCCTTTTCTGCCTCTTGGAACTGGAGGTGGAGGGGGAAGAGTGGCCAAGGAGGAGGAATGAGGATTGCTGTCATTAGGGTTGGAAAAGAGACAAGAAGGTATTACTATGAAAAGAAAAAAGGGAAGAGAAACAAAAAGGAATCACTACCAACACTTAACTTGAGAATTTAAAAAATATATATATATATTTGAATGAGTCACTATGCAGCAGTTTTCCCCAATTTACTCTCTTGGTAGTGTAGATACTCAGTTGCATCAAATAAACTAGAAAACAGCAAAAAGTGCTTTGCATTGAAAAACTCTTCTAAATAGAAAACTGTGTAAAGGTTAGACTGATCAAATTACAAAATGGAAAAGTAAAACTTGATCTCCCTGGAAGAACTGGCAGTCATCTGAAAAAAAAAATCTAAGTTTATAAATGGTTACTCGAAATGGAGGGTCTGAGAAACCTCACTAGAAGCCATTTATACAAAGGTGCATATTTACATTTGAGTAGTGAACTTAATTCAGCTGGATCTGGGAGACAGGACTAGGTGTTTCTTCCTCTTCCACTTTTAAAACATGGGACTATGATTCGTGTTCAAACTAGTTTTTATTCCACATTGATAACAATAGGTCACAAAACTCTGTGGAAACAATGTTTGGTTATCCCCATCAGGCAGGGATTCCAGTGTGTGTGTGTTGGGGGCTGGATGAGCCTGTATGTCTCGTTTTCTCCCTCTACTCTCTCTGTCTCTCATCTATCTGTCTTATCTGAGTGCTTTATATTAGCCATCCTCCTTAGGACTGAAAGCTTTATGTATTATCTTAACAGGACAACGAGGTTTACTCAGATCCAGCTGTTAACTTTTACTTACTTTACTTGTTTCCTATGAGAAATTTAATTTTTCAAGCATTTTGAACTTTGGTGAGGGAAACCCTAAAGCAGATGTTAAATTAATGAGTTCTAAGGCAGGTGTATGTTAATAAGGAAAAATACATATGTGCCTGGAAAACCAACCTTTTTAGGCATCAAGGCACATTTTTCCAGACTGGAAAATCCTTGGTACATGTATGAACTTGTATAAATCTATTCACACACATAGAATTGACCTCTACACATACTGTATATCCAAGTAAGCAAGAATACCACCCATGCTACACTAAAACAAGGCATTCATACTTTTTTTGCTGCACTCAGCAAGTCATATAAATCTTGATTTTCTTTTTTTACTGCTATGAAACAAAACATGCTACTCAGGACACGTTTATGTTATATTTGCTTAAATGGATCTTAATAGCAACTTAGGGTGCTATTGCTAGAGGGTAACTATGGTTAGCAGTTAAAAAAACCTGAAGGAACTTTTCAGCTCATAAAAGTTTTATGAGCTGAAAAATGCTATGGGGTGTGTTTAACAGTGGTTCAGGGGATACTGAAAACATGACTGCTGTCTATTTCAGGAGTAATTTGCACACCTGCATTTTCAAAAATTATTAAAAGGTTTTCTTTGTGAACATGTATGAAGTCTGTAGGATTTAAAGGTGTAGAAAGAGTTTCTGTAGCTCTGGGCTTTTTTTTTTTTTTTAAAGAATGCTTTTTCTCCAAATCACATGAAATGTCACAGGTTAGTGTGACAGAGCTGTGACTATCTTTAAAACTGATATATTGATATCTTTAAATCAAAGAATAATTTGGAAATATGCAAACATTATTATGCAAATGCTCATAGTTATAACCTTAAAATAAGTGGCTTATTAGTTTTTTAAAAAACAAGTTCATATATGCCATATAATATTTGTCAGGCTGGCTTGATGTTATTTGTCTTGTCAGGTGTTCTTTTTTTTGCTAGTTGTATAATTTATATTTATCTAAATCTGAGTGTAAGGCAAGTGTAAAGCCAGTGTTAAACTAAAATGATGTAAATAGTAAGATTGATAAAATAATTAATGTAATGATGTTAAAGGTTAATGAGATTTTGAGAAAGACAATTTTGGCCTCTAAATTAGAATTCATTTTGCTCAGTTTCCTTATTGAAAATTATGGTCCCTTATTGCTTACATCATTCAGAAATAATTCCCATGTGATTAATCCCTTCTGAATTTTTGTTTGTACTTTGTAGAAATGTATATAAAGCTAAAGATTTACTTTATGAATATGATGGTGTTGAGGAGAAGGTAAAAAAATAAATGTTGGCTGAGATATCTGGGCAAATGCCAATATTTATATCATTAAATGCATAGTCATCATTTTTTGAAATATAATATTTATATGAGATAGTGTCATATAATTTTAAATCACATATTTTTTATTTTTGTAGCATTTATTATGTCTTATAGAAAAATTACTTTCATATTTTTTATTATAGGATCAGATTCCTTTCTTCAAGCAAAACCTATTTAGGGCCTTCATATTTTGAGCAGATAAAAGAGTGGCTGTACTGGTTAACGTTTGAGGGGGGAGGCAGGAGCCTCCTTTCTTGAAACCTCTCCCTTATGCCATTGGTAGTTTCTAAAATAACGTGCACCTCAGCACACAGCTAGAAAGAGAATTATATAATCTAGAAAACTCAAAATAAAGCAGAAACAATTACTCATTCCCGAATGTATTGATTTTTATAAAGTAAAAACATTTTTAAAATTGGTCTGATTTACACTAGAATGATACACATTTATTAAAATTTATCTTTCAATAATTTTGTGTAATGCTGGATAAAACAAATTAAGCAAATCTAGGTTCAATCATATTGATACCTATGTGTAATTAAAAGGATATCTAGTTACATTTCAGAATGTCACATGAATGTGCAGAGCTAAATCCTCACCCAGCTCACGCTTAGGGTTGATACTTTCAGACCCCGTTTTACAGACGTGTATATTATCATGTTTAAATCTCAGAGATAATCTGTGAGACAACTGGGGAAAGTATTGCAGATGGGCAAACAGAGGCACATTGGGTCTGACCCTGCTGGCACCGGGTCTACCAGCCCTGACACTCCTGGGAGCATTGCTGCAAGGAGGCGAGTCTCTCGCCTGATAAACTCACAGGAATGATAACCCCCTATTGGGTCAGATGCTGACCGGTCCATCAATTCCTGAAAGAGAATAGACTCTGGAAAGACTGGCTTCTTGTCGGCATTCTATCAGATTGTTCAGAGTAGATGACAGGTTTAATTTGCTGATACTATGGGGTACTGTGCACACTCTTCAGAAACCCGCCATGGAAAGGAAACAGCATGTGGAAATCGGTAGCCCTGGCTGTGGGCTGCTGCTTTCATGCAGAATTTTGGAGCACATCCCTGAAAGTGGATAGCACTGGTGCCTGCACACATGAGTGGTTCCCTTTGCTGGGCTCCAGTGTGGCTCCCTGCCGGAGAAGCACATTTTTCTGTGGGAATTAGGATGACTTCTCCCTCCCTCCTTGGCTTCCGTAAGTCTAGAATAAGGTCGAGTTTTTCTTTTATTAGTCAAATAATGAAAAAGGAAGAGACCATCTTCTGTCTCTTCATTTCTATAGTATAAAGAAAAGGGTTGACCTTACTGTTTCTAAATTATTGAACTT